TTTCTTTTTTTAAACACTTTTTTCCTGACTATGGACTACAAGTTTTACGTATTTTGGAGAATGGAGGGGAGGACATGGAAAGTGTGCTCTAGATAGATCTGGGGACAAATAGGATATTAGCAGTGAAAGCAAATCCAAAACCAGAGGTCAGATTGTTTCCCCACAGATATCTGCTGTGGGCCCATAGCAGCAGGATGCCAAAAAAGCTACCTCTCTACCACGTAATCATTGTCATGTTTATAGTTCTGTATGACAAAAGTGAATTTACTGACAGAAGTTAAGGAACCACCATGGAGTGTGTTATAGCCGTTGACAATGTGGTAAGGGGGAAGATGGAAGTCTAAAATAATAAACAGTGTGGAGAAAGTGAATAGGAACTCAGTAAGCATGTCTACGCGAGATGCTAACTGCTCAGTAGCTTACTAACACTGCGCAGTAACACGCCAGGCAAAAACCATGCTAATACGCTACTGCGCAGTAGTATTAAGCTATTATGTAGTAAGCATCACTAAAAACCCATGTGGCAGCCCTACTGTGCAATAGCATAAGTTACTGCACCTTGATTTAGTATTTGGTTAACCAAATACTAAACTTAATGTGCAGTTACTATGGCACATTAATGAACGTGTAGGTGTGCCCAGTATTTACTATCTCTTACAGTATTAGAACTAGGCAACATATGAACCAAATATTAAAAACCAAGCTTAAAACTAAGAAAAGGAAATTCTTTTGCACACAACCTGTAATTAACTTGTGGAATTCATTGCCACAAGATGATGTATAAGCTGATATTTTAACCCAGTTGAAAAGAGGATTAAAGAAATTGATGCGGGAGGGGACATTAAACATTACCCATCAGTGGATGTTATTGTTATGGGTGCAAAATCCAAATTAAAACTTCCAAGACCTCCAAATGCTGGAAGGGGCAGGGAACAGATCAGTCTGGATAGGTCCAGCATAAATACTCTTCCCTTTGCCATCCCTGCACCACTGTAGGTGTGCCTACACAAGATGCTATGTTGCCATAGCAATCAGCTACTGTACCATAGCTCATTGCTATGGTGATGTAGCATCACTGGGCATGAACCATGACATCAATGCTACTGTGCAGTAGCAGCTAAAAATAATTATGTGGCCACGGGACTGCGGGACAACTGTGCAACGCAGTTGTCTGCTCGTGTAGATGTGGCCTGTGAGATACAGAATACTAGATGAGATGGTCTGACCAGTATGTCATCTCTTATGATCTTAATTCAGACCTCTAATATCCTGGTACATTATCACTACATTTGAAGAATATTGTAGTAAAGCTATGTTGTCTAGGTTACATTAACCAGGTTCTTTTTGTGTGACTGATATTCCATCTGTAATGATACACAGCTTGTGTGTTAAATGTCTTAAGGTCTATGGATGAAATATACCATATGAGACTTAATGTGATTTTATTATACAAGCACTTACTATTTCTCTAATACCACATAATATTTTGTAATATCTCAGATGCACAACTACAGACTTATGTGTGCCATGCACTTTTTTCCACCGTACACCAAGTAATATCCAGGAGCCTGTATAATACACCTATAGCAAGAAAAGACCGGGTGAGGTTTAAGTTTGGCCTTCCATGATTTCAGTTCATAACTTCTGCACTCTTAGTGTTGTGTTTGAAGTATACTTTTGCATAGGGACCTCAATCCAGCAAAACACTTAAGTACACAAGTAATTCTAACCATATGAGTAATCACACTGTTTTCCAAGGATCACCTACACGTGGTCACTCTAGGGTTAAATTTAAAAAAGGACTTTGGTGCCTAAATCCTTTAATCGCCCTCCCCCAATCACAGCCCACCTGCTCAATGGCCACATAACTGTGAATGCTCTTAACTGTCTAAATAGTTGCCTCAGTTGTAATGCTTGATCTGTAGGTTTCTTCTGCACCTTTGTGGGATTATATCTTTAAAACCTGTCTAAGCCAATCTGGTACTCCTGTAGAAATTAGTCAAATTATTTACCTTTGAATGCACATGCATACACTCTAGCTGCATGCTGTGACAAACTATGGTTTTAGTGTAACATTTTTGTTTTAACTGTGTTCATATTATAATACAGTTGAATGCCTTTGTTTCCATGACTTTATTGTACATGGGGAAAGAAAGGTTCCTGTGAGGTCCCAGAGCTGGCTATATGCAGGACTAGACAAGATAGAACTTGTGCAACAATAGGGAATTGAATATCTTCGTTCATGCTCCAGGTGGGTTTGGTACTCATCCTCTGGAAACACTCAACTTTTTTTTTTTTTTGCTGCTAACATACATATCAATCACCCAATTAAACGCTAATTTTTCTGCAGCAAAAACAAGAGCTGACATCTCTCCTAGCAGCAGTGACCTTCCAGCCGCTGCTGCTGTTACAGCTGCTCTGGCTGTGTTTGCTGCTGAAGTTTCCATCAGTGAACGAAACATCGGGCTGCACGTACACAAGTACAGTTCTGTGCCATTTCCTCCAATTCATTTCCCTCATACACTCAAAGTGACATGAATTTAACTGATGAGGGCCAGTGGATTAAGCAGGGCTGAGAGTGCTCTTGAAATCATAGATAAGTAGGGCTGGAAGGGGCCTTCAGAGGTCATCTAGTCCAACCCCAAAATGTAAATAATCATTGCTCTCCTTATGCAATTAAGTTTCAATAATACATGAAAAAGACTCAGCATTACTCATAAGTAAGAAACTGCTTTTTCTAGGTCACTTTTACATTAGTACACCAGCTTCAAAATGATGAAGAGGTGCCAAGTTACTCTAGAAACCAAAATCTCACCTCAATAAATAACATATCCACAGATTTTGCTGTCACAATAAGTGAGAGCAAAATACTTGGTGATTTGAGGCCTCAACAAGCTCTATCCTTGAGGAGCACTAAGGCCCAAATTCTGTTACTTTTTGTGCATCTAAATGGCACTTACCCATCCATATAATTGGCATTTTAAGCACTTATGCATAGTGTGCGAGGGCCACGTCGCACATTAAATTTAGGGTATGTTTACTGCACATAAAATGTGAGAATCTGTGCATTCAAGCACATGCTAAGTGTGATTGAATCATAGCAAAAATTTGACTTTTTGCAGGAGGAGTATCTCCAGATTATATTAAATAGCATGTAGTTAGCTACTGTCAGACTTTTTTCACAGAGGTAATACAAGCTCAAGACTCCAGTGTGGTGCAGGGATTGGGATTGTCAATCAGCTGCAGCCAGTTTCAAGATTGCCACTGACAGAGACCTGGCTCACAGCATGGATCTAGAGTCAGGTGCAGATCAAGCAGCAGGTGTAATGCCCTTCATTGTCCAGGAAGGGTCAGGTATGCACAATTAACTCCAGCCCTGTCCAGGGTGGGTTGAGATTGTAGTAAACTGGAGTGGGCAATTATTTCAGCTGGATGGCCACTTAACGACTTTTGGTGAGCTGTCAAGGGCCACACACACAAAATCTTTCAGAAGATATCATTTTAACAAATTATAGATAAAAAATCATATACTAAAAATCAACCATCTACCATAAATTTAATTTTATTTTAAAAAATAATATTTGTCCTGGTTTATGTTTTTTGAGTAATGGATATAGAGGTGATTGCATAATAGTTGAAAATAAAGTCTTACTCTTGTATGTTGTGTGTGAGGGTGTATGGGGGGGCGGTGAGGAATGGTGGGTATACACTTACTAATCTACTGCGCAGTAAAGCATCACTGTCTAAATGTGTGCACCATTTACTGTGCATTAAATTAGTCTACTTCACAGTTAGCTACTACCTGTAAATTCACATAATAAACTAACTGCACAGTAGACACTGCACAGTACTGTATATGTAGATGCTGACTGGGAGCAAACTGGGAGCAAATTTGCTCCCAGTCAGCCCTAACACCAGAGGGTCACAAGGGACAGGGAACTTTCCTGGTCCTGGCACTGCTCAGCTCCTGGCTGGAGCCAGGAGCTGAGTAGCATGAGGACAGGTAGCTCTCTGCACCCCTGTGTCCCAGTGCTGCTCAGATCCAAGCTCCTGTGGGGAGCTGAGCAGCTCTGAGACATGGGGAGAGCTCTGCTTCCCTGTACAGCTGGGGGCTGGCCAGGAGCTGTCCCACTTCTGGGGCAGCTTCCAGCCAGCCCCCAGCTGGGTGGGGAGTTCCCTGAGCTGCCGAAAAGGAGGTGGTTGCGGACTGGCAGGGGACTGTCCCACTTCTGGGGCAGCTCTCAGCTAGCTCTGGGCTGGGTGAGGATTTCCCCGCACATCCCAGGGCTGGTCAGAATCTGTCCCAGAAGTGGAACAGCTCTCAGCCAACCCCGAGCTGCTTAGGGAAATCCCCAACCAGCCAGGGGCTGGCTGTGAGCTGCCTTAGAAGTGGGACAGCTCCCAGCCAACCCCCAACTATGTGAGGAATCCCCACTGGGCATGGGGTTTGTCTCCATGTGCATGAGGCTGGGAGAGCTCTGCAGCAGCAGCTGTCTCCCAGCACCCTGCACATCAGGACCCCTCCCAATATGTTTGGGGCAAGGAGACAGCTACTGCTCCAGCCAACAGAGCTCTGCTGGCCAGGTTCAGGTGCCTGCCAGCCCTGGAGCTCCCCCTGCCTGCTGCAGGGGGTCAGAGAAGGGTAGGAGCAGATTTGCTCCCAACAGGGAGCATGTGTACACCTTCTCCCAGGGAATGTTTACTAGGCAGTAAGCCTTTAAAGCATTAATAGCACATGTAGACCCACCCAGGAATGCTTACTGCAGTCTCAGATAACGAGCATGCTAAGTGTTCCATACAGAGGTGACCAATAAGTGCAAACAGCTCCTGCACTTGCTGGATAGGCTATACTGGCCAGACAGCTCTGTGACTATGGAAGCCCTTTCTTGTAGGCATGCATAGGTCACAAAATTCTGACTGGCAAAAGCCCATAGGTAGTTAGGGCTCTGACTCAAGAAACAAGAGCCCTGTGTAAGTAAAGTATAAATATTTATATTTACCCGTGTGCTGTCTATATGTCTCTAAAATCTGATGCATCAGGTCCAATGGATATGGGGCAGATTTTGGAACATCTACAATCAAAGATAGGAGGATGGGCAATTACTACCTGTTTTAAAAAACAAAATAAAACTACTAAAAGTTCTGTTAAGTTACAGCCAGAAGCAAAATTATTAGAAACACTTTGAACCAGTTGCCAAAATTATTCCTTTTGTTTTATGAATAATCAAGACCCATTTTATATTATTTACTGAAATCTTTTGTTGAGTACTCCCTTGATATGGAGTCATAGCTCAAGCATAAGATGCTAAAATCAGCATGTACACAGTAATTAGTAAATAGAATAAGTATAATAAATTTAAGCTACTTACAAAGTGAATTAGTCATTGAGTTAATATTATCTTCAGGTAGAACTGGAACAGGTACATCTGAAAATGAAGCAATTTACAGTGAGGATCTGTCATGCACATTTAATTTTTTAACAAAATGTCTAACATTTAACAAGTTACACTAAAAACACAGACCTTTCTCTGTTGCATTTACCATGGTATTAGGCCAACCAACAAGGGTCACATCCAAAGGTTTTCTATTAGGCACTCATCACAGGCTCTTTGCTGTGGCCTGCTTTCCTGCCTGCATTACCCATTTAATTTGGTCACCATGAGACATAAGACATTATAAGTAGGAATCTATTCACTTTGTGATTTTGCAGTTTTCATGGAAACCATGAAAATGGCCCCAGGTACCACAAGTGGTCCACAATTTTTACTTCCCATCCAGAGACAGTTTTATTTTAACATTATACTGTGTAATCACTGACATCTGAAGAGCATCAGTGGGAAACTTGTTGCCTTTTATATATCAGTAGGATTTCAGCCCCTACAGAGAGATGCTAAACTAAACATAACTTCCTGTCAATTGTCACTTAACACTAGCACTATATTTCACATTTTTATCTGACACTCCTGCAAAGGGATACAGCTTATGCTAGATTACAGCCAGGGCCCATTTCTGAGGCACTGTAGTGCTTGCCGCTGTACACAAGAAGAAAAAACTACCTCAATAAGCTCACTGTCTGAAACCCAAAGGGTCATCCTCTTTAATGTGAACCCCTGGAGGAAAGAGAGGAGAGGTCTCCAAACTGTGCCCACTTGAGCGGGCTGCGGCAGCAATTTCTGAGGATGCCAACTGTACCTCCTAGTTGCGAGAAGATGAAGCTGCTTCATTAACTACAGCACTTAGGGCTTCTATGCACATGCAGGGAGGCTGTTTAACTGAGTCTGAGGCTGATTAATCAAGTCTGCAGGAGCATGGTAATTACTGTGCTCCAGCAGACTCTAGCATCATGTGTATTAGCATCCCCACACTGAAAAATGATGGCGGGGGCACTTTAACTAAAGTTTGTTCAACAAGCTTTAGTTCAAAGTGCCCTGCCACCATTTTTCATCATGGGGATGCTGATACACATGACGCTCTGGGCATTTTTGATTAGCATGGCTCTCAGAGCTGTGCTAATTAAAGTTCTCCCCTCTTGCCTCCCAGAGTACGTCTATAAACACCCTTAGTGAACCACACATTATCCCCAATGGGATGGAGAGGGGCTCTTGGATCTCTCCATCTGCAGAGGGATCACTGTGTGCCCAAACAGCTGGACGCTGGGGGGATGCACACTGCCACCCAGGCAAATTGTGTTGCAGGCTTCATGCCATTCATGCCAGGCATCTTCTCTGCCCTACCCCAGTGCCTTACCTGCCTCCAGATCCCCAAGGATATCAGCATGAGTATCACAAGCACACAGGCAGACGAGCAGAAGGAGGAGGGAAATAGTGGCTTGTATCATGCTCACTCTCTGCTACCACAATTCTGCCACGGGCATCCTTGAAGTTGCTTCTCTACAGGGCAGTGTCCTGGATACTATGGAACAGAACACAACCCTCTGTGACCTCATTGTCCTCTGCTCCCATGCTCCCCCTCCTGACAGCCATGGCAGGCCATGTGTCACTTCTACCACAGACGCTGCCTCAAAAGTGGATGACTCAGAAGCCAGCGTGCAATGCCCCACACCCATGTACAAGGGAGCAGGCCTTGGCAGGAGTATTCAATCTGCTGGGTCCATCTGCACTCTGGGCAGCAGCCACTGAAGGGCCAGTGTAAAGGGTGTGGGGAGGAGGAGTGGATCTGCCTCAGCCCCTATCCAAGCAGATCAGAGAGAGATCAAATGTATGTTTTGGAAAAAGGAGGGGTGAATCTCTTCAAGGGGATACATGCTGGGTTGGGTCATTAGTGTTTGCAAGAAAGATCCAGCATTGGCAGTAGAAACCCTCCTCTCCTGCCCCCCGCCTCCTTGTAATTGTTGGGGAAGGAAGTTTTGAATGCTATTGAACCCATGCCTTTGTCCAGTCCTTATATAGCAAGGTAGATCAAACCAGGCTGCCAGTGATAACAGCACAAAGAAGGAAGACTTATGCATAGGAAACTAATTTTGTTCAAACAAAAACAGACCCTTAAAATATAGCAGTATGCAAATATTTTTTTCCTTTTCTTTAATTTAGCCTGACACAAAGGTAACCACTTCTTGGTACATTATTAAGTCTGCAGCTTCAAGCACTTTGGAATAAGAAAGTATACCTGATGGATATACCATATAGATTTGTACTCAGAGGCATCAGTAATGTATTGCATCCATACTAAAGCACTGTTTTCCATTCCTCATTACAATTTGAAGTGATGAATGTTTGCTTGCCCTCTGTCTTTAGTCTTTGATGCAGATGCATGTCATTTGGTCCTTGCTGACTTTTGCTACTTATTTGTAGCAAGACTAGCGTGGACCTACTGCTCACAAACGGGGAAGAATTGGTGGGGAATGTAGTAGTAGCGGATGGCAACTTGGGCAGCAGTGACCATGAGATGAATGAGTTCAGGATCCTGAGGAAAGGAAGAATGGAGAGCAGCAGAGTAAGGACCCTGGACTTCAGAAAAGCAGACTTCAACTTGCTCATGAAACTAATGGGCAGGATCCCCTAGCAGGCCAGTCTGAGGGAGAAAGGAGTCCAGGAGAGCTGGTTGTATTTTAAAGAAACCTTACTGAGGGCACAGGAACAAACCATCCCGATATGTAGGAAGACTAGCAAATATGGCAGAAGACCAGTTTGGCTTAGCAGGGAACTCTTCAGTGAGCTAAAACACACAAAGGAGTCTTACAAGAAGTGGAAACTTGGAGAAACAATGAGGGAAGAGTATAAGAGTATTGCTCGGATATGCAGAGGTTAAATCAGGGAGGCCAAAGCACAATTGGAGCTACAGATAGCCAGGGACATGACGGGTAACAAAAAGGGCTTCTACAAATATGTCAACCACAAGAGGAAGGTCAGGGACTGTGACTGTGGGTCACTTACTGAATGGGGGACGCAATCTAGTGACAGATGATGCAGAAAAGGCTGAAGTACTCAAAGCCATTTTCATCTCTGTCTTCACAGGCAAGGTCAGCTCCCAGACTACTTCACCAGGCAGCATAGTTTGGGAAGGAGGTGAACAGCTAGCAGTTGTGAAAGGACATGTTAGGGACTATTTAGAAAAGCTGGACATGTAAAAGTCCATGGGACTGGATGCAACACTCCCAAGAGTGCTGAGGGAGTTGGCCAATGTGATTATTAGATATTAGGAAAAACTTTCTCACTAGAAGAATAGTAAAGCACTGGAACAGGCTACTCAGAGTGGTGAGGAATCTACATCCTTGGAGGTTTTTAAGATTCAGCTAGACAAAGCCTTGGCTTGGAAGATCTAGTTGGCGGTGGTCCTGCTTTGAGCAGGGGGTTGGACTGGATGACTTCCTGAGATCTCTTCTAACCTTAATTTTCTATGATTCTATGTTTGCTAGTGTTGGGAGTTGTGCTAGGTGCATGATCTAAGTAATCAGGTGTGGGGGTTAGTGGATCCAGGAGGGAGCTGGTGAGTCCACATGGAAGCCAGTGGGCTAGCAGGTCTGCAAGGGTGTTAGTGGGTTCACGTATTGGGGTGGGGGGTGTCTCTCCAGAGTTGTGGTGGTACACATATTCAGTATAGATTGGGCACAGTATAGATTGTAGCTCTATCTATATAGTTCATCTCCTAGGTGAACTAAAGTTAGATTGGGCCAGTCATTTTTTGCTTAATCTAACCTTTCCAAACACTGTGCAGATGGGCACTTAGATAAACCTGGCCCTAGTTAGGTTGCTCTAAGTGTAAGATCCACATTTGGGTGAAGTAAGTTAGATCGAGTGGCCATTATTTGCCCAATCTAACCTGCCAAATTTGGTAGTTTGGCACTTATCGATCTAACCCTAGTTAGATCCATCTAAGTGTCACACCTGTGCATACTCAAAATAAATGAACACCACTTTGACATCAACTGCAGAAAGACATGCAAGCCTGTAGCAGAACACTTTAACGTCCCTGAACACTCCACCCCTTACCTGAAGATGACTGTTCTCAGAGAGCAAAATTTTTAAAATTGATTTGAGCAGGACAATGTGGAACAAGAAACCTTTCACAGATTGGATTGTGTTAAGCATGGTTTAAACAGGCACTATGGAATCTTATCCCATTATCTAGATTAGCTTTTATGAAGAGTCTCCTGGGCTGCAAATATCCATCTGCGATTGGGGTTTCACTGTGGAGCAGTTAGATGCCTCAGCCCCATTGAACAGGATTTTTAAAACATATTTTTCTCTCCAGCACTTCCTTTTGGATGGCTTGGGCAGATCCCTGCCCATGATGCTGGTGGCTTTGAATCCCATTCAGAGGAGCTGAACTCTCCGTGTTGATTGTTTAGGGAGCTTAGGCACCTAATTCAGGGCTACATATATCACTTACGGAGGTGGGTGTAGAGTGTTGTCACACTAAGTCCCTCTGTAGTTCCTTAATAGGGCCACCTGAAGTCAAATTGCTCTTAATGGGTGGTCTGCATATGCCCCTGACTGCGCAGTTGGTACTGTGCAGTTATTTAGTACTTGCTTTAGTATCTGCTGGTACTGCACAGTCCTGGTGGAGCACAAATTGTTTTGACCCTACTGCGCAGTAGCAACCAGCTACTGCACAGTAGCTCATTGCTAATGCACAGTAGTGGCGGTGTCATGGTTAGTGCCTGCTGACACTATGTCACCATAGCTCACCACTGTGGCAACATAGCATCTCGTGTAGATATTACCCAATGATATTTAACAGAACTGTTGCTTGACTTGGCAGTCTGTAGTCCAGACTGTGCTATTTGTACTTTTAATAGCTCTCAGAATTTGCTCAGGTAAGGAAATATATGATCAGAATAAATTAAAACTGTTCACTTAAACTTACATTGACCTACCTAAGTCATGGTGAGACAATGGGCTTTTTGCAGGCCGCTTGTGGTACACAGAGCCAATTTCACAGGCATTTCACAGCAGCCCTGCCCCTCACTGGTGATTGGCAGAGGGTGCCTTCAATCACCACACTACTGCTTTTTTTTTTTTTTTTTTTTGATTTCACAGGAAATTCCAGCCAGTGCCATATCTCCTGGTGATCACAGTGGTTGTAGACAATGCCGTTTTTCACAGTTTCTGCAAAATCTGCAAAAGTGCAATTTAGGTAGGTCCCTAATTATAATGTTAGGAAGAGAGAGTGATAATTCACTGCACTATCAGAATCTACCACCCTGTACAAAAGTCTTGTGACCCAAGAACTCCTATCAACCTAGAAGGCTTGATGGTCACTTGGTCTCGAGGTGGGAAATACAGCCCACTGTGATTGTTAAATATTTTTTCCCTTTGGGTGGAAGAACAGGTACACACCCCTGTTCCTTTTCAGTAATCACAGCATCATAGCAAATTAGGATTGGAAGAGACTTCAGGAAGTCATCTAGCCCAACCCCCTGCTCAAAGCAGGACCATCCCCAACTAAATCATCCCAGCCAAGGCCTTGTCTAGCCAGGTCTTAAAAACCTCCAAGGATGGAGAGTCCACAACCTCTCTGGGTAACTTGTTCCAGTGTTTTACTACTCTTCTAGGGAGACCGTTTTTCCTAATAATTAACCTAAACTTCCCTTGCTGTAACTTGAGACCATTGCTCCTTGTTCTGTCATCTGCCACCATAGATTCATAGATGGATCTTGCAGATCATCGGGTCCAGCCCCCCTGCTCTAGGCAGGAAGACAACTGGGGTTAGGTGACTGGGTTAGGTGACAACTGGGGTCTAGTCTCCTCTTTAAAACCTCCAGGGTAGGTGACTGCACCCCCTCCGGAGGGAGTTTATTCCACAGTCTGGATACCCTGACCATGACAGTTTTTCCTGGTATTAAGCCTGAAGCGGCCTTCCAGGAGTTTATATCTATTGGTCCTGGTCTTCCCAGGGGGTGCCCTGGTGAACAGTTGTTCACCAAGGTCCCGATGCCCTCCTCTGATAGAGTGATAAGCCGCTATCAAGTCCCCTCTCAACCTTCTCTTCTTTAGGCTAAAGAGGCGCCCAGGTCCCTCCACCTATCCTTGTATGGCTACCCTGAGAACAGTCTAGCTACATCCTCTTTGGAACCACCCTTCTGCTAGTTGAAGGCTGCTCTTAAATCCCACCTCAGTCTTCTTTTCTCCAGACTAAATATGTCCAGTTCCCTCAGCCTCTCCTCAGAAGTCATGTGCCCCAGCCCCCAAACCATTTTTGTTGTCCTCCGCTGGACTCTACTATATGTCTACATCCTTTCTGTAGTTCTGGGCCCAAAACTGGACACAGTACTCCAAATGTGGCCTCACCGGTGCTGAATAGAGGGAAAAAAATACTTCCCTTGATCTGCTGGCAACGCTTCTACTAATGCAGCCCTACTATGCTGTTAGCCTTTTT